AGGATACTGCTGTCAGTTTTTACCGACTACTGTGCTAATGAAAAATATCCATAGTTATAGATGCATGCGTTATGGTATAATCAGTGTGAGTAACCTTAGAATTCTCTTTATGCTTTTCCTTCTTAAATATGTCACTAATGTTGGCTAATTCCATTGAAAAATTTCTATGTGACAGCCTATGTTTCCAATACTTGACTCCGAATATTTCTTTATTATTTTAGAATGAATTATTTGATTCAGGATTTTTTCATTTCTTTGAGATTGAGCTCCTATCTTCGGAATTTAATTGTTTGACTAAGGATTTGTTTGACTTTTTTCAAATGTTTCAGTAGATAGAATGCGATTCCGTCAAATGCTGATTTCGACACGTGGATTCCAACGCATTTCTAAAATTCTATGCTGCTGTGCTTGGTTTACGTGACTACTGCTGTCAGTGTTTACTGATTACTGCGCTTATAAAAAATATTAACAGCGGTAGATGGATGCGTTATGGTACAATCAGTGTGAGTAACCTTGGAATTTTTTTTATGGTTTTCCTTCTTAGACATTTGAGCAATTCCACAAATAAACGCCAATTAGATGGTCAAAAAAAAATTGGGGGGGGGGGCACACTATCTCTGCATGAATTTTCTTCTTTTTTTACACCCTAAAAAGGCAAGAAAAAATCGTGAACATGAAATTTTTTCTTTGTGACATACTTTAAATGTGACATACTCTTTCTGACATACTCAGATAGAGTATGTCACATTTAAAGTGTGTCACAAAGAAATCTGAGCCATTTATTCTGATAAAACGATTTTTACATAAATATAATATTTTTATAATATCTCTCTAAAATGTATTTATAGAGATTTCATACTATAAGATTATATTTTGATGTAAGAAACAAAAATAAAAAAATTTAGTCAAAGTTTGTAAATTGAAAAAATTGGGAAAAATTTAAAATTAGTATTTTGTCATTTAAAGTATGTCACAAAGAAAAAATTTCATGTTCAATATTTTTTCTTGCTTTCTTAGGGTGCAAAAAAAGAAGAAAATTCATGCAGAAATGGAGTGCCCCCCCCCAAAAAAAAAAATTAAATTTTTGTTTGGCCGCTAATTTGTAGAATTGCTCATATGAGCAATTCTACAAATAAGCGCCAATTTTTATACTAAAATATAATCTTTTAGTATGAAATCTCTATAAATGCATTTTAAAGGGACGTTATAATAATATTATATATAGTAAAAATCGTTTTATCTGAATAAATGGCTCAGATTTATCTGAGTATGTCAGAAAGAGTATGTCACATTTAAAGTATGTCACAAAGAAAAAATTTCTTGCTCACGACTTTTTCCTGCCTTTTTAGGGTGAAAAAAAGAAGAAAATTCATGTAGAAATAGTGTGCCCCCCCCCCCCAAAATTTTTATTTTATTTTGGCAGTCTAATTAGCGTTTATTTGTAGAATTGCTCATATATCCAATGAGACCCAATCCTATGCGATCCAATGTTTCTAATATTAGACTCCATTTTCTTTTCTGTATAATGAATTCTTTTGTTTAGGACTCCAATATTTGATTCAGAATTTCTTTATTTTATTTCAGATTGTTTTTTTGTGTTTAATGTAAGTTGTTTCTGTGGCATTCAGGATTTATTTTACTAATATGAAATTGGTTTTAATGTTTGAATTGCTTTGACCTCTTGTTAACATTAGTTTATTTAAGGGGAAAAGTTTATTATGGGTTAAATTTTTTGGGGGGGTTTTAACTTTGTAATGATTCAATCAGGTATTGTTAGGGGGTGCCAGTTCACAGCATAGAGTAAAAGAAATTTTAATTGAAGAACTTTGGTATGCATAATTATCTGTGTCCTTCTCAGTTGAAAATAAATCAACCAATTTTTGCAACAATTTATTACAATCTTGAAATTTTATAACGATTTATATGACAGGTACAATCAGAAGAATGCGTATTTAGATGCTTTTTAAATCAGTATCAAAATAACACTTAAAGTAGAAACTAAACTTGTAACAAAACTTTGAAATTGTTTTAACAAACGGTTTTCTAAAAGAAACTTTTATAAAAGTTTAAATTTCTACTCTTTAAAACACATGCATGATAAGTTGTTTAAAATGTCTAAATTAATCGAATTAACAATTTCAACATACGAATACATTTAAATTCTTTGTCACATCTGAAAGCTTTTTTTAAACTTTTGTTTCACCCACTTATGACAACTTAAGATTTTAGATTTAATTTGGAAGCTTTAAAAGCTTTAAGATAATCAAAGCGATTATAAAGCGAGTAAATATTTTCTCATTTAAAGAAAAATAAAACTTAATTTTAAACGGTGTTGGATTAAATTATCAAATCACTGTAAATTCGTCCTATTTTTGACATTCTTTGAAATGATACTTCGAAACTTTCCCTTTTTAATTTTTTTATCAATCAATCTGGTTTAGAGCCACTTTTAATTAAATTGGTTTTGAAACCACAGTTAAAAATATTTGCAAAGAGTAAATAATTCAAATAACTTTAAACAAATATTTAATTAGATGTTAGAAATCGACATGATGCAAAAAAGTGTTTAGTTAATTTCGTATTGGCGTGGGAAATTCAGATGCAAAATGAGTTTAAACTATTTACATTTAGATTATCTATCTGTAAATATCGTAAAAAATGAAAGATTTTGATCCCAAATAATTTAAAATAGGCTGTTAAAAGATTCACAGCAGATTATTGTCATTTCCTATTATAAATTATCTATCTTACTTCTGTAAACATTACGCAGACAAAACTGAGGGGAGAAAATGCTCAACTCTGATTCTCAAAAAGTTATCTTTGTTTACTTAGCTCTTATCAGTAAAAGTGAAATCAAATATTGAAGGATATAGTAACGAAAAGCTTATTCAGAAGCTGATTTTGTCTTATCTGATAAAAATTGTAAGAAAGTACTTATTATTAAAACAATAATCTCTCTTTCAGTGTCAACTTATCCCATTGATATTTTTTTCTGATAAATATTGAGTACCTTGGATGAATAAGTACTCAACACATATTTTATTTTCCTCAATAAAAATATTAATATTTGGTGTTGAAGTTGTAACATTTTCTTTAAAATAATGAAGTTGAAAAATTAAGAATGAAAAATTATTATTATGAAAATAAAACTTTTAATGTTTTGCACAGTTGTTGCGCATTTTACAATAATAATGCCTTTAAAACAAATAATAAAGTAGGGAGAGAGCTTGATTGCCTATCTAAGCTTTACAATTTAAAACGTTCAATTCCGAACAAATAAAGTGCTCAGTAGAAAAAGATACCTAAAAAAATGATACTTAAAAACACAACTTACCTTCTGTTTTATTCAAAAAGCGCCACTGACATTTAGCATTTAGTAGGAAAGTTTTTGGATTTCTAAAACAGTTTCATGTTTTCTGCCAGAACTGTAACATACTTTGCAAAATGTATGCAAACTCTATTTACGTAGAATAAAAAGTTCACTAAACTGGCATCTCAGCAATTTTATTTTTTGAAGTAGCTTTTCTGTCAATTTTGAAGCCTAAACAGGCTTAAAGCTTATTTTGTTTAAAGAAAATATTAAATTGAAAAGGAAAAAATTAATTATTTCTTGCTTATGAATTTTATATAGAAAGCTAGTATTAAAGTTAAATAGAGTAATTTGATGATTAGGTTTTTTATTCAATTAAAAGAAAAGTAAATATTTTCTATTTGGCAGACTTACATCCAATCTACTCATTTGATTTTACTTGTTGCAATTAATTTGTAAGTGTAGTGACCTTCTCATATTTTGTACATAGGATGATTAGGAAAAAAATCTATAAATGTTTTTCATATGCATTTTTATGCAGAAATAGGGTATAGAGTATAGGGTATAGGAACTGTGACGCGGAGCCATCATTAATATACATTCAGTGCATAAAAAATCAATGCAAGAAGAAAGTTTTGAACTGTTCAGCAATGAAACTAACCGTGCCTTACTATCCTCATACCTCCAAATTAGGTTTTCAAACTGTAATCAGTATATGTACCTTGTTGATAGTATGAGTTGCCGTACGCATTCACGAAGTGCCAAATTACACCACACGAGTTTCAGATGTGACATCGATTCATTATTAGAGCTTTTTATTACTGCAATCTACAGCCAACATCTTGATAATTATATTCTACGTGTATGAGAATTCTGGTAAGTGGTACAAAACTATACCTTTATCGGATAGTACAGGATAATGAAGGAAGGTGGTACAATTTTATTTGTACGTGGAGAAAAAATAATTCTGATAAAAATTTTCGCACTGTCTGGTGTTGACATTTCTGGTAAAAAAAGCACCATAATTCTGAAAATGAAATCCAAACTAAGCGGTATTTAAACCATTTATTTGGCAATTTTTCCATTCATATGGTAGTAGTTAACCGGAAATTCTGGTTTTAAAAATTATAGTTCTTAGTACCACACATTAAATAAAAAATGCGAAAGTTTAAAGTAAATCTGAATGAATTTTTTTACGCCATGTTCTTATGAACCATGAATAAGCAACGTAATTTTATCACATTTATCTGATTTTATAACATATTGTAAAACCAAGTTTTATTGTTAATTTTACCAAAATTATTACCATTTTTATCCACTTTTATCATTACCATTTTTATTTTTATCAAAATCATTACCTTAATTATCTAGCTTTTGGTGTTCCCATACACCTACGTTAAATTTTACGATACTCTCGAAGTTTTGACCATACTTTTTTCGCAATGCAGGATCGTGAAAAACAATTTTTACTTATGTTGCCTTTTAATTATTTTATTCTTGTTATTATGTTATTATAATTATTGTTATCTGCGCGGTTTTTTTAACATTTTTATTACGGGAGTATTCACACTTTTTAAAACAAACTAACATTTTTGTTCTCTCAGCAGCGTACTTAATTTAATATCAATTAAATCAGATGTAATCAGACAATAATGTAATTTTAATACATTTACTTCTTTTCAATTTTTAGTGGTGTGTTTGACCACCAGCGTCTTAACACTTTCTGCAATTTCATGTGACCGATTTGTTGCGATCATGTTTCCTCTTCATGTAAGAATCACGAAGCAACGCACATCTAATGTAATGGCAATAATCTGGATAATATCATCAGTTGTTTCAATTCCATTCCTCATTGTTAAACAACACAATGTATTCGAGGTAAGTGCTTCCTTTATATTTATTTCCTTACAAAAGTCATTGTAGTCAGTTTTGAAAATTTTACAGTTACTTTTTCGCTGTTTAAAAGTGACTTACTAAAATTAGAGTTAACACATTTAATTAAAGTAGCACCATGAAATATTTATAAACTATATCAGAATATATTCCTCTTGATACCTAACGTTTACTTACCCCTGTAACAGTAAGCAATATCAGATAATTTTACCACTAATAATATTAACTGTTTGGTTATTTCTAGTAACTATAGTCAAAAAAACAATATTTAAAAAAATTTGAACTGAGCTTTCGAGCACTGAGGACAGCCAAGGACGAAGATCTTGAAATAAAACGGAAAAAATCAAGAAAAGTACACTCCATAACAAAAAAGTCGACGCACCAAGAAGGAGTTGTCCGATTGAAACGAAAATTGTTGAATAGGAAGACAATGTACAGAATAGTAAATGATTAAAATTTCAGAATAATTGAATATTTTATTGCAGAGTTACAGTAACAAGTTCAATAAGGTGTTGCCCCGCCTCTAGCCTGGATACAAGCTGCCGCACGGCGTGGCATAGACCGATAAAGCTCCCGGATGATCTCTTGTGGTATTTCCTGCCAAATTCAATCCAATTGTCGAACGAGGTCATCAATATTCCGTGCCAGATGCAATCGCCTTCCCATCATATCCCAGACATGCTCGATGGGAGAGAGATCTGGTGATCTGGCAGGCCAAGGAAGAGTTTGACAAGCGTGCAGACAGTTCATAGCAACACGTGCCGTATATGGTCTGGCATTGTCCTGCTGAAAATCCAGCCCAGGGAGCTGCAAAAGGAACGGTAGCAAAACAGGTCTTAGGATGTCGTCGACGTACCGCTGTGCAGTAAGTGTACCTCTAATGACGACCAAAGGTGTCCGGCTGCCAAAGGGAATGGCACCCCAGACCATAATGCCTTATTGAGGGCCGGTGTGGCGTGCAATAGTGAAGGCAGGATCCCCTCTCTGCCGTGTGCGTCTCCAAACACGCAGATGGAACTGGGATTCGTCGCTAAAGACTATACGTCCCCAGTCGGTATCATTCCAGCCTGATCGAGCCATGCACCACTGTAATCTGGCTCGGCAGTGTGCAGGCGTGAGTGCTTCTTGGCGCGTCGATTTTTTTGTTATAGAGTGTATATAAAAACAGTTTGAGTTTTAATCTTTAATATATCCACTTGAAATAAAGTAAAGTGTAAAAAATTTCGGATTATTTTACTGTAAAAAGTACCAGTACTCAGAGTGTCGATACTTTTTACAGTAAAATTTATTTTTACCAGAACATGTTACGGAAAAAAAACGTCTGATATACTATAAGTTGTACCGTACTAATTGCCGTAAAATCACTGAATCACACTAATTAAATAAATATTACTGTAAAAACTAGGGTATAATATTTTATGATAAAAATGGTTTACGGATAACTAAATATGCCGGTACTTTATACCATGATTTAGACCAGAATTTTTTACAGTTTTTTTTTTGAAATTAAGATTTTAAAAATATGTATATTATAAATTAGTAAGAGTAAATAGTGATTAGAGTAACATTGTTTAGAAATAGCTGCAAATTAAAAAAAAATTGTAGAGGTACTTTTAGAATCTATACACTATGATTTGTTACTTTTAAACTATTTAAATCAGAGACTGCATACTGAAGAAATGATAATCCAAGGAAAATATTGAATAAGATCGAGAAAGTTTCTTTCTAGATCAGGAAAAAAACTGTATGGCATAAAACAAAGAATAGTAAGAATTTATTGGCATAATAATAGAAACTGTATCGGAAATAAAGAAGTCAGAAAAAAATTGAAATACCAAACTAGAAATACTGAAAGAATAAAACCGATAAAATCAGATTTCTGGTGTGACAAAAACGTGGGTGCTTCATGAAAAAAGGGTAAGAATCAGCAATATATATATTTTTTTTATTTTATGTTGTTGGCCCATTCCGGATCCTGAATTCTATTTCGGAAGCCGAATCCGATTATCGTTGCTAAAATCGGCGATTTACGACCAATATCGATTTTTTTCAGTGGTATTTTGTTTTTAGAATCTCTTACTTTAGATTAAATGCAGAGATAAAAAAAAACTTGTTTCAACAGAAGTTTTTAAACTGAGTGTCCCATTTAATTCAATTCTTCTGAAACAAAAGGAAATTGTTCAGAAATATCTTTTGTAACCTCAAAAACATTGAGAAGATTTTCAAATAATGAAAAGTAAGGATTCATTTATTTTTTTACCTGAATACTTTGCCAATAGTTTGTAGTATTTGCATACTTTTCATTTTGCTTTTTACCATCAACAAGAAAACGTCAAAACAGTCAAACTGAAAAATTTTCTGGTAAATTATGGACAAATTGCTGAACTGCAACAGTTGAGGTGGGTGAAAATTGATAAGTCTATGAAACATTTCAATGGCACATAATGGGAATTGATTGTTAAATGATGATGTTAAAATAAAATGTTATTATTTCTTGACTTTTAAAAATATTCAATTTACCTATCTTAATTCATTTGATTTAGTTTTTTAACCGGAGTTGAGCAACCAACCCAGTTCTGAGTTAATGTCTATCTATGTTCAACTCCATAGCCATGTAATTTTGAACCCAATCCAGAAATCGAGGAAACCCCGGGATGGGACAAACTCAGGGCTAAAGAGAATTTAATATATATACAGCGGCCTAGGCCAATAAGCCCATATGCCAAATACAATGAATCATTTAAGAGGTCAACAGACCCTTATATAAATAAAATACAAAAATTATATGTATATATACAATACAAAACTTATTAACCCTCATATAAATAGAATACAAAAATTATATATATATATAATACAAAAATTGTGAACCCTGAGACAACCAGTAAAAACTGAGTGAGCTGTGAGCCAGAGCTGGTGGAACCCTTAATACAAGACAAAAAATCTAACAATTCACCAAAAACCGCCGTAAATACAGCTCATAAAACCGCCAAAAGGTGAAAGGATAAAATGACATAAATGAATATAGTGCTAAAATTGAAAAGTTAAAACTAAGACAAAATCACAGATGTATACACTTGCCAATAGGGCATTGAAAGGATCCAGCCAATCAAGCCAGCTTGAATCCTGCTGGTGGAACCAAAATAGTGAGGGTGAAGTAGTAACAGGTAGTTAAAATGAAGAACAACAAGTAAAGCAGAGTAAATTCAATTAAAGTACAAAAAAACAGAGGACAAAATACCAATAGATACTAAAAGGTAAGAGTTAAAAGGGGTGTATAACAATCTAAAAACCATGTATAAAATACAATCGCAATGTAAAATACCAAATGTATTAAAATCCAAAGGTTGTAAACAAACCTAAAGCATGTATAAAATGCAAAGTCAAGTTAAAAGTCAAATTAAAACACTAAAATGGCAATGTGGTCCAAAAAAAAGTTTTGGCAAGGTGGTTAGATTAAGCAGGTTAAAATTTTAGTTATTGTCAATTTTGTTTATTAATTCCATTTGTTCCTCAAGAGTAGTTTTAATGATAATCTTGATAATTTCTCTACAAACCTTGTCTGCAAAAATTTGTTGGTCTGTTTTTTGGAAGAAATAATTTTTTCGGAGTGTTCGGTACCGATCACAATAATATAAAAGATGCTCTATGGTTTGTCTTTGGTTACAGTTAGAGCAAGTATCTGATTTATTAAAAAATTTGTTTTGGTGTACTCCGAACACTCCGTGCCCCGTCAGAAATTGGTTAAAATAGAAATTAGTTTGCAACCTTGTAGTTGACGGGGTCTTAATGAATTTAAATGTATGCCTGCCTTTCTCAGAATTTTCCCAATTGGTTTTCCACCTTGCCATTAAATATTGTTTGATTTCGGTTTTAGCTTGTTTGGGGGTCTTCAGAACCTGGAGATCCACACTGTCAGAACCAATGGCTTCCTTTGCTGCCCTGTCTGCCTCCTCATTGCCCTGGATCCCCACATGTGCTTTTACCCAGTTCAAAATAGTGTTCTTATTCCAAATTTTTTTGATCTCTTCTATGAGTTTGGAACTGGGTTCTGGGTCAGCCAGGGCCTGGAGGGATGATAGTGAGTCTGAAAAAATCGTTGCATGTGTAATATCATGTTGACGTAGCCATATCAGGGCAGACTTGATTGCCAAAAGCTCTGCAATAAATATGTTGGTGTTATCAGTGACTCTGGTGGAGGCTTTGAAAATCGTGATACCGTTGTTCTTAACTATCATTGCGTGTGAAGTCCTGAATTTATTCGGATAATCTGCCTCCATCCGAGAGCCATCAGTGTAGATCTCCACTCCCTGATCTTTAGGGCTGCTATATCCCCAGGGCAAAGCAATGTAATCTGAAGGATGCCCTAGGGCTGGTTTCTCGAAATCTATGTTATGATCAAGATCAATTGGTAGAGTATAATTTATGTCCTCGAGTCTCCAGCCCCACTTCACCCTTTTGCAAAAGATGTCCTCCACGATTTTCAAACCAATTGGCATAACACCCGCCAGTATCTGGATTGCCTCTGTGCTCGTTGTAGCATAGGCCTTCGTGATGGTTNTTGATTTTGACATTAAACATAGCTTCTTCATTAAACATAGCACTCTTCATTTAACTCAGCTATAATGTGTTTTTTCTTGGACAAAGTCATTATTTGTTCTCTAAAACACTGGTCGACAAGAACAAAATCAATACAAATTCAAAATAAATATTTGTTTACGTTATTAACGCATGCGCAATGAGAGATAATGTCTGCGTTGTACCGACTGCTCACGCTGAGCTAACAAAAAAGTATTTTTTTGGCGTCAGCTCTACGTCAACTTTCCGCTGACGCCCAGATAAGGCGCTAGTTCTAAGAAACCAGGTCTTGAGCTAACAAACCAGTATTTTGTTGGCGCCAGCGGGACGTTGACGTCCCGCTGACGCTCAGATAAGGCTCTTGTCCTAAGAAACCAGACCTTTAGAATACTTTACGTCAGAACTGTGCTCGGTGCGTGTCGAGTACGGGATTCGAATTGACTATCCATCGCTGAGATTCGAACCCGGTTCACCTGATTAAAAGGCGAATGCCTTATCCCCTGAGTCGCCGCAGCTCATTTAGTTTCCTTAGTAAAAAAATATTTAATTTAATGTGATTGAATTATGAAGTTCAAAAGAATTTGTTGTGTCTTAATTATTTACAGATTATTTCATTCGCCTTCCTTAATCATTCGTATATTATTATCAGAAAAATTATTTGTATTAGAAGCTGCAAATAATTATTTGAGTGAGAGAAATACAACAATTTATTTACTGAAATCTAACAACCTGCTTATGATAAAGGCTAGACTGAGAACACCAATCCAATTTGAATATCTGTGAAAATTTCAAGAAGTTTTTATTAATAAATTTTCAGTTCCTTTGCTAATTCCCCTGGCTAAGAAATACATTTCAACTCTTTTTAGTCTCTCTTACTTCAGTAGTAATTCGTTAGATTTTTGTAACGCTTTTTTTTTTTAGTTTTGTTTCTCTTACAACCACTTTTGTTTTTAGTTTACAACCACTATTTAACTTTATATATGACAAGAGTCTTAAGGGAAAATATTGAGAGTGGTAGCTATGTAACAGTTTTACTTTAGCCATGTATTTTGAAGCTCATGTTAACATTACATCCAAGCATTTTACAGCAAAAAAAAGGAACATAACACACTTTTTTAAAAATAAGAAATAGTAAGTTATGGCTTATAATTTCGAATGGGAGTTACACCTGAAAAATTATTCAGTCTAAAAAGACATATGAAATGTTTTTAAAAATTCCCACTTTCATTTCGACTAATATTTTCTGATATAGATTTAAATGAAACTGATTCAACTTATTTTATAGTGCAAAAACACTGACCTATAATACAATTAAACAAAATTTAAAATTAAAATATCAACTTGTTTGAAAGAGCGTTGACGAGCCTTACGTCGAGCTTAAATTTCCGTTAACACAATTTACACATACATGCAAGCACATTTTATAGCATTTTTTTTCCTGCTTCAATATATAACCCAAGAACCAATGAAAATGACCTCCAACAAGTGAAATTCTGATCAGCAGTTCAAAATTTATTCGAAGTAATTCTTTTTGTTTTTACCCATTGTTCATACATTTAATGATCAGGTTTAAAAATCCCAGTAATTTCGTTCTGAATCACATATCATAATCTAGATTGAGTCCGAAGCATTTAAGAAAGAGATATATTTGAATATGAGACCTTATTTAAAAATAAAAAGTCATGAATAAAAAAATAACAAACAGTTGCAAAAGTGCAAAATGTTATTCTTCAGTAATAAACTAATTAGTGTTAATTAACCAATAATAAATAAAAAATAATTAAGCAAAAATGGAAATATAAAATCTATTGCTTGAAAAAAGCGAATACGAATTTAATATTGTAGAATTAATATTTTCATCCCATTCTTGGAGATGTTAATCTTAACAGAATCGTAGTTATTTTAAAGATTTTACTTGAGTTCAAAAGCATGTCCTTTCAAGAAGATACCGAAATGTTATCTGATTGTTATTTTATTTTACAAGATGTCGAAATAATTTTGCATTCATTTATCTTAACTACTACCATTTTCTCTATAGGAACTAAACTATTTCGTACCAAAGGAAATTTAAAAAACTTTGAAAAGAATAAGGAATTATTCTAAGAATTCTATTAAGTTAGAATCAAAAGAATCTCCCCTTGGAATTCCGACCCTTAGTGATACTTCGCATTCTGTTGGCATCTTTTAAACTTGGGGTAAACGAAGAAAAAAGAAGTTTTTAAGCTTTTCAAATTATTTTACAGATTTCTTACTTCTATTTGTAAAGAGGAAAAAAGTATTCAGATGAGTTTCAAATATCGCTACTTCTGAAATCAGTTTGCGCAGTGTTACATTTTTTTTAACCACGTCAAAATTATTATCATTATTTTACTTCTTTTTAATTCGAGAAAGTTACACATTTAATGTTTCGGTTACAATGATTTTTAAATTTTTCTCTTCTTTAATTTGAGTCACAAAGAATTTTAGAAAATTAAGGATTTATTTTAAAGCAGAGTTTAATGCGCCGACCGGCCTGTGTAGGGGCAAGGAACTGTCTTTGCATCAGAAGGGTTCTGGGTTCGAATCCCGGACAGGGCATGGATGCTTCTTTCTCTCTATCTGTGTTCTATGTCGTTTCTCCTTTGTGTGTGAATGTGTGAATGTGATCCACCCTATAAACGGGTTGTGGTAGTGTGACGTGGTCGACGCTGCTCCACAGCCGTGGCTTCGCCACAGGTGCCCACTGGGTAACGAAAAGAGAGTTAACGAAAAGAGAGTTCTGGCCCTTTCTGTGGCCAAAGGACAATAGTTCCAAGTGCCCGCCATTAAAAAAAATAAAAGAAGTTTAATGCAAAAAGAGGAACGATAAGGTGAACTTCGTTAAACTTAGATGGCATTTCCTAAATAATAGCGAATTGTCAAAATATGAATAGTTTTTATGCCACCTAAATCTATTACATACCCTGTTGAGTGTTAAAAAAATAATAAAAATTTAAAATAAACGTATATTTTGTGCAGAGTCAAGCATTTTGTATTTTGTAAAAATACGGCTGCCTTCCATATTTTGAGAGAAATCTGAAAAGATATTTGAAACTGAATCAAAAATCTGAATCCGTCAAAAAATATGTTTATTTTGAGAAATACACGTTTGTATATGACTCTGTAACTTAAGATATCGTCTACACTAATTAGTATATATGAGGTCTAGCCCTCGAACCATTAAGATTGAGTCCCAGTATATGAACAACCAAGCATTAGATCAAAAATTATTCAGAGTGTTCCATTTTTGTTACATTTTTACGCAATGTACATTTTATTGGATTTTAATATGCAAAATTAGATTAATTTACTTATTTTTTATAATTTTAGTTCCAAAACTTTATGGAGTCAAGATGCAGTGAAAGATGGCCACTCGCTACATACTACAGTAAAGATACAGGGGCTTGTGAAGTATATTATAAGTACCAGTTTTCTTATTATTTAACTGTGAGCATAACCTTGTATTTTTTGCCGGTATTTCTTATGATAACAGCATATTCGTTGATACTCTGGAAATTGTGGATATCTGAAGTTCCGGGGGAACGCAACACTCAGAACATTAATGTACAATATAGAGCTCGAAAAAAAGTAAGTTGCATCACATTATCAAATTAACACATTAATAAAAAATTTATTTTAAAAATTATTTCCTTGATTTTTAAATTCATTCTTATGAAATCACTTTTAAAAAGAAAAATAATTATTTGATTATTAACACATTGATTGTCATGCTGTTTTTAAAACATTTCCCACCATGCCGTCTAGTGTTTACTACGAATACAAAGGCGAAGAATGATTGATATTTTGTCAAAAGCTACATTTTTAATAGCACAATATAGTGTTGTTTTCTTAGCATTTGAAACAAAGTTCCAATATCAAAGATGACATGAAAGAGACAGAATATAAAGGGAAGGCATAGGTCAAAAGTAAGTTGGAAGATGGTAAACAAGACTGGCTGCTGTATAAGTAATAGTTGACGTAATCGAAGGGAGAAGAGGATTACTCATCAACTAGAAAAATCAGATATTATTCTCGAAGTATTTTCTGCGTTGAATCTAATGAATATGAAACAAAACCAATGGGTGTAATAATATAGAAGTAATTGAAGTTTGTATAAGTATAGGAAACATTAATCTGCATCTCTGATATTCCTCTATAGACTTGTGAAATCTGTATATTTTTTAATCTAAATTGAATATGAATAAAATCCGCTCAATATGAATTATAATTTAGAAGTTATCACGGTTATATGGGTTTCAGTAAAAGTACATTTTTCCTACTTATACCTCCTTAATCAGGCCGCGCATTCAGGAGGAAAGCGGCAAGAATGAGGCATAGGGGTGACGAATTCCTATACTTTTGTGTTAGGATGCGCAGAGGTGATGTATGGCTGTAATGCAAAAGTATGGGAGTTTGCCTTCCGTGTATCTCTTACGTATCTCCTCAATCTGTGACCGGCCTTATGCGGCTGTCATTGCTATCTAGCGCCGACCGGCTTGTGTAGGGGGCATGGAACTGCCCTTGCATCAGAAAGGTCCTGGGTTCGAATCCCGGGCAGGGCATGGTTGTTTCTTTCTCTCTCTCTCTGTGTTCTATGTCCTTTATCCTTTGTGTGTGAATGTGACCCGCTCTATAAACGTGTTGTGGTTGTGTGAATGGCACGGCAGAAGTCGAATTCCTGGCCATAAATGGCGCCACTGAAAAACAGGAACAATCGCACCCGCACTGCCTAAACAGTCATACGACAAAAAAAATTGCTATCTAGTCAAGTCAGGCATTGTTTCATATGTATTCCTTATGTTAAATCCAAATAAAAATCAAATATAAATCGATAAAACTAATAGTTTTGAAGTTATGCGAGTTTTATGCGTAAACAGTGCATATGCTAAATTATATTTTTAATATCTGAAATTCTTACAACTTCTATACTACTGGTCCTGTCAATGCAGATTTAAAACTATTTGATTCTGTGTAAAACAATACATAGGATTCAATATATTGTCTTTATTTACAATAATATCAAATACGTAGGTAGGTATAAGTTCAAAAATGCAGTTTTTATAAATAAAATCTTAAATAACTTAAATACAATGGACAGAAATACAATGGATAAGTAAATACAATGGACGTTAATGGACAAAATATTAGTCCAATTAACTTTCTCTTGTTCTTCTCTGAGTCAACGTAAAAATACAGAAAAGAATACCAAATTTGTCCAGATAGATCTGTGACCAAATCAACTGGCACTCGAATAAGAGAGTCGTCCTAACTTTCGTGATTAGACTGTCTCATTGGCTATCAAAAAACATTGAAAAGAACTAAATGTAAAGACAAAGCCAAAGAGACAATAGGGTCATCTGGTATCAAATTTAACAGAAGGCCGGTGTTGTGCCACAGAAGGAAGAAGGGAAACGAGATATGAGTTCTGTCTGATAGCAGAAGAGCAATACAGCACTTGACCAATTGGCAGAGCGTGAGAGATAGTGCTGGAGCGTCAATACTCAAAAAGTTAAAACGTCTTTCCATTTCGCATCAGATTCATCTGCAGTGGATTCATTCTCATGACGATCTTGAAGGAAACGAGATTGCGGACACTTTGGCTAAACCTGGTACTTGCGAGGCCTCTGTGTCGTCGGCACCCCTCACCTTTTTGGAAATATTCTCAAAAATAAAACTCAGAAACAAGAGAACTTGGAATGTCCCCCCCCCCCAAAGCACCCATGCTATCAGTGTTCTCGACCTGGAGGCTCCCTGGCCCAAGGTTTTAATAGACAGGAACAAACTATTCTTACGCGCTTTCGAAGTGGTCACCTTAAATAAATAAAATTTTCGGAAGGATCCAAGAACTTTTAAATTTGTACCAACTGTTCTTCAGACCAAGCTTCGCATCACCACATCCTCGCGTGCCTGAGGCTCACCAAACAGGATTTAGCAGATGATCCATTGACGGTGTTGGATTTTTTGAGGGTGTATAACGTCATGAACCTGGTCTGACACTGCTAACCAATGGGGACATGCAACAACAACTCAGCAACAACTGGAAGAAGCGAGACTTACATATTCCTCATAACTCATGAGCTCTTAGTCCTGTCGACTAGATTTTCGTATAATTCAATTTAGCATTAAAAAATTGGAAAGATAACTTGTCTGTAGAATATCTCTTAAGTTTTCCATCATTTGAATCCTGGAAAATTAAAGATCGTGGCTAAAGTTTACCTTGAGAGAGAAAACAGAATTTATATGCATATTAAAGTTGACAACAAATTTCAAAACAATTTCCAGTTTTTCATAAATTTAAAAAAATAAATTATATTAGTATTAGAATTTTATAATATAAAAATTACATTATAATATTAGAAGCTTGTCCGTGACGTGTGGCAGACTCCAAAGATACGTATCATTTTTCTATGGACTATGGAATTTTGTTTTTTGTGACGGAAGTGTCAAAGAAATATTTTACACTACATGCTTTAAAATATTTAGTTGCAAATAAGGAGGTATTACTTCGCTGGCATATCTGTCATTACTCTCGGCAAATATATATTTTAAATATATTCAGTTATTCTTTAGTTCTGATATTAGGATTTTTTGGAAAGACCATATTACATTTTCAATAATTACGATATCTTAACACAAAAGAGCTTTGCATATTTTTATGTTCTTTTTTATCAAAAGATGCAAGCTATAGTCATTTTGAGTATAAAAATGAAATTACATTTTCATTTATATTTAGAAGATAAATTTAAATAAAAAAATTCTGATCATAAAATTACTTTTATCATAACAGAACAAAAGATTAAAATTTATAGCAAATTTAAGCTTTGGAACCTGAAACAGACAAATTTTAAAAATGTCAGTAATATAATGGGGTATATTTTTTGAAATTAACTACCATGAAATTAGTTTTTAAATCTGTCGTAATAATTATACATCCTTAATACAAGTATTTAAATATAATACAAATGGCATATCAAATAGTATTCAAATTATACCGCTATTTTCTTCAATACACGCATTGTTTCTTTTTTTAATTTTTAAGAAATACTCAAAATGAAAATTTACATGATTAGGACATTTATTCTATCTTAGAGGCATATTGCATTTTATAATTAAGTACAGACAACAGAATCCCTTCTTAAATCCCCCCTCTATGAAACTACACATTGAAACATTCCGGAACAATTTACCGTAAAAAGAACTGGCTCTCAGGGACCCGGTACTTTTCACCGTAAAATCCATTTTTACCTGAACAAAATATCTCATATACCGTACTTTTTACAGTCACTAAAACACACATTAAACACAAATTTTTACACACATTAAAATCACTAAGTCATTCGAATTAAATAAATATTACTTTAAAAATATGGTATAATATTTTAAGGTAAAAATGGATTTTACGCATGGTGTGCCCAAAGTCCCGGTACTTTATATCGTTATTTGATTCGGAAATTTTCGCAGTATGTAATTTTAAGAGATTGTCCCACACATTCTGGACATTTTATGGTCTAGAATAGATTAACCAAAGTTTTGAATCCAATGTTATTTCAATCTTATTGAATACCTCAATCAAAGGTCGCTTCACACAAGCGCGACATCTTATTGTATAGATTGTTCAGAACTTATGACCAATGTTATTTCAATTGGATTGAGAATGACTCTCGGCAAAGATTACGGTTAGCAAAAATTCTTCATTTTTTCTAAAAGACTTTTCTAAATGATTCAATTTAGAACACGTGAATTGTACGTAGGTGATCAAAACATTTCTCTTAACTTTGTGCATTGAAGCAATGCAACAATGCACTAAAAAGCAAATTTAATTTTATGTCCAGTGTTTAATACAAAATTAACGTAACACAATTTTACTAGCAACAGCAATGTGGATATTACTTCGAATTATCGTTTTTTGTGCACTTTTAATATAATAAAATATAATGATTTGAAATAGAGTTTTAGCGTACTTGTACAAAGTTTGATTTTCTTAACTATGCTTAATTGGCAACTTCAGATTAAATTACTTGACTGATTCAATAAATAAATTTTTTCAGGTGATCAAAATGGTGTTTGTGGTTCTCCTAGCTTTCATTATGTGCTGGACTCCGTTTGAGGCTCTTGTCTTACTTCAAACATTTCCCGAACAATTTCAGGTAGACGAAAAATTTCTATACCCTCAATTTGAACATCATGTAAAATTATTACGTCACCTTTAATATGCTTAAAGAAAATTTAAGCATCCTTAGACATTTTCATGAATACTTATGATAAATCAAGAATAGCAGCTTATCCAGTAATTTGGAAATTCAGTACGTTTTTAGACTATTAAAGATAAATAAAATGATATACGAATAGTCAAAATTATAAAATATAACAATTTATTTAGAGTATTGGAATTTATTAGAATTATAAAATCTTAGAATTTCAAATATAGAATGCGAAATTGCATTTATTATCTTAAAACCACAAATTAAATTCGGTGAATACATTTTCAACTAAAATTAAAATTTCTGGACCGAGATGTTTAAAGAGAAAAAACGAGTTTGACAAAGAGTTTTAAAGACTTTACATAAAGCAGAAGTCAGTCAGAACAATCTCAATGTCTGATATTTTATATTTTATTATTATTAAAAATATGAACTTCTTCATAAAAGCTTACAACAATTGACATATAAAGGAAAAAGATAGAATACAATACAGAATAATCTTTATAGCTCTTTTAATAATCATTGAATTTTCATTTAACATATAATTTTGATAGTTCGAGGCTCAAATTCCGCTAAACTAGTTTGCGCAGGCAATAATTTAATCTACGGAATACAGATCTAAGAGACGTGTTTTCTCTGGAAAAAGGCACTTTTTTCCATTCATTAGAATTATTAAAAAATCAGAAAAGAAATAGTCGAAATATGGAAAAAATACTTCAAATTGGTCTACACGACAGTAGAAAATTCGATACTTTTTGCTTAATAAGTTATTTTTCATAACATATCTGTTACTATTTAAACAATTCAAAAACATTTTGCAGACAATAACTTCTTTACTTAAGATGAGTTCTTGCAAAATGTGTATTTTTTTCGTCACTCATATAATATTCATTATTTACCTTAATAATACTAAAAAAACTTCGAGCTTTAAATTAAACAAATCTTTCATAATTTAAAATGAAAAGAAAATAACATTGCTGAGAAATGTTTAAAAGTATTCAAATGTGCTGAAATCCTAACATGGAACTAAGTAATCGAACCATATTATCGATTTTTTTAGAAAACACGTTACTATACTTTAACATCACCAGTTCATTTCAGTACCTTATTAAAAATGCAATAAATTTGCTCGATGATATGATTCAAGATATCAATATTATGAAAAATTTAGGGTCAAATTACAGTAAAAATTATAGGCACTCAATCTGCAAGTACTTTGTACCGTAAAATCCATTTATGCAGGAACTTGTTTCGTAACAAAAAATTTAATATAGCATAATTTTTATAGTAATGATTACAGAAAAATCATTGTATCACTCTAATTAAATATATATAAATAATGTAAGAATTACAGAATAATATTCCACGGTAAAAATGGATTTTACTGTACTTAATACCGTAATTTTATCTGGAATTTTTTACGGAGTAATTCAATGATGAACCAATTTTTCTACAAAAGTGCTTGAATTTCATGAATGAAAGTTAAATTTTAAACATATCTTAATAACTTTTATAACTATTTATTATGTAATGTTTATTGAAAATGTGTCTTAATGTGTATCTTTTTTATATTCAGGGATATATTCTATTCTGAAAACAGCTGATCTTCTTTAAAACTTCTCTTTTCTTTACCTTCCCCCGTGTGGTGAACTTTCCTCTTTCCTAATTTCTCTCTTTTCCTCTTTTCAAATATATACATCAAAAACTATGTAAAATATAATAAAAACTAAGAAATTTTGGTTATTGTTTCAAAAATTGAAAAAGAAGTTTTGTATAGTTAATTAACCTGATTTCTATGCACAAGAAAATAAAACATTTAATAGGAAAAATTATATTTTCTAACTTTCTAGTGGTCTAGCCCACTTAAACTTTTTTTTAAAACTCATATAATTTTCGGCAAATCTGACATTTTTTTTCTAAAACTATTAGTTGAGGAAAACGTAAGGTGAAGTATAAACAAACAAAAAAATTAATTCAAATAAAAGTCTGTCTAAATTTATTTTATTAAATATAATTTTTGTCATGAAATGATATGAGATTCAAACAGTTTAAAAAGCAATAAGAAGTATGCAAAAGAAATGAGAAATGAATAAAAAATGGGATAAAAAATGCAGTAAGAAATTAAAAACAAATAATAAAAATTTTATGATAACTCAAATTTCAGTTACATATGTTTAGGATAACCAAATTAACTTAAATGACAAGTAATGTATTGCACAAAGCAAAAACGAATGAATTTTCGAACTTTCAAGCTGTCAATAAAAAAAAAAATATCTGGGTACTTTCTCCCAGACAACAAATCAGTATCTTAAGAAGCAATTTCTATACTGCTCCTTCAAATTTAATAAACTCTTGGCTGGTTAATTATCATTTACGTCTTTTTTATTACTTATGCGATTTTGCAAATGTGGGTTATGTTTATTAAACATTCATTTTTGCTTGATACTAGTTAAAAACTTTTTTTCCTCATAAAAGCAAAAAAAATTATATTCTGTCAGATGATTTAAGTTTACTAAATGCTTCGTGAACACTAAATAAAGGTAACAAAAAATAGAAATAATGATTACTTTTCGAATATTAAGTAAGTTAAAGAATATGTGTTAGCATAAATAGTTTTGTTAATGAAGACATTAATAAAATCAGTTCCTATATATATTTAAATCTTATCTATTTTTCTATATGTTCATCAATTTTCTAGAAAACTTTATTTCAAGTACAAAATTATTTTTACTTCTTTAATGAAACGAAATAAATTGTAGCAGCTTTATACATTAAATAGTTAAGCTTGGAGAAGAAAATATCTCCAGATCTGTATATAACTTTACTTTTGCATTCTTCAAGAATTCTTAAGTTACATGAATAAATTCTTTGCATCCTTTAGGCTTTCATACATTACATGAATAACTACTTTGCAATCTCAGTCCCAGTGGAAGAAAATGAGAAGCATATAAGTTTTAATAAGGTAGAGTATTTTGATTCCCACATAGCATAAAACATCTCATCTATGTCTCAGAAAAACTACTTAGGAAACTTCTTTCTTCCTGAAAAGTTTCTGATAAATTTTTATTTACTTCTTACAATATCGAACTGAGTGCTTTGTTCTTACGGTAATTAGAACCTTGCATTTATGTTTCTAAAACATATTTTTGCAATGACAGAAACAATGAAAGATTTAAACTGTTTATTGTTAAATTTTAAGGTGGTGCGACTTTTTAGTGTAGCGCCAGTGCGAATTAACTTCTACAAATATATCAAAAACTATTATTATTAGCATCTTATCAGATGCAACTCTGAAAAGTTTATTTTTTTTAATCTCCCTCGCTTCAAATGTAATTATTAAAAAAGTATCTAAGAAATTATACAAATATTAAAAAGTAACTAAAAAATATTTAAATACTAGTGTTTAAAAAACGTTTAAGAAATACTGAAATTTTATTTTACTTCGAAAAAGCATTAAAATTTTTCGTTCTGGAATAATCACTGTTGAGGTTAGTGAAAGGTCTAAGTAGAGTCAAATATATTTTTAAAAAAGTCTTAATATTATTCATACAACTTTCCGAAACATAGGTGAATGTTTTGTGCTATGTGAGTTACAGCTAAAGGTAATAAAATTTCAGCCACAACCATGGGAGGAAAATTACATGTTTATAAGAGATTTTATCTATAATTATATTCTTTTAAATGAGGAAAAGAGAGATTTCAAAGCAATGAAACTAATAACAATAAACTTGACAAATAACTTACTAACGCAGAATCACCACTAACTCCTTAAAGCAGATTTTCTACTAACATTTCGAAACATTAACTTAAACTAACAGTTATTTTCGTCGCAAAATTTAGCCTCTATAGTTTCTCACAATTGCAATATAATTTGCACTGATTCCATGCAAACCAATACTGTTTTAATATTCCAGATACTAAGTTAAGTGTCTTAATATAATCAGTTATTAAACTGTTTCGAAAAATACTTTATAAAAGTATGGTACGCAATATATTTTGAAATGTTACCTGTTTAAACTGTTTATTTAAATTATTTTAAAACGTATTTGCATAAAGTTAATAGATTATTTACTTGAAGAAGTTGATGCTTTGTCTAAACTTGTGTAATAGCACAGCAATATAGTCATTGGAGATTTGTGAACTTACCACATAATCAACAATATCTATCACAGTTTACGGTTTTTTTTTCTACAGAATTTTGTTAATTTCTATGATTGTGGTATTCATTCGAGCGCAGTTAATTACAAAGTTAAAGCAGCTATACACATTATCTAATATCCACAGTTAGTGCATTATTGGACAAATTTAACTCAAATGAGTACTTTTGTTTAGACGTATTAAGCGAAATACAGTGCAAAAAAATGAAAAAATTGATCACAATAATAACTTTTGATATAATGATCAGATCTTCATATTACATCTGTGACTTTTTCTAGGATTTAATCTTCAAGGTTCGAGGGAATGACCTCAAATATGCTAATTAGTAAGAGCATATTATATATTAGGTTACAAAATCAGACACAAAAACGAACTTTCTTTGAATAAACATACCTTTTTTTTCGACGAATTCGGATTCCTGACCCCTAAAATACAGGAAGGAGCTGCAATCAGGGAAGCATGGTCCTAAAAGTTTGAACAGGACAGCTGTTCAATGTTTGGACCCCTTAAGGTTAATTTTACTTTTTGCGTATTTTGTCAGATCTCGAGTACCTTTTCAACAAATTTAAAAATTTTTACACTGAATTATAAAATTCGTTTATCCAAAGACAATTCTTTGAAAAGAATAACTTCTAGTAAATATTTATTATTTTATCTAATAAAAGTTAAAAAGAAATTGAATTGTTAAAAATTAAATTTTTTGCATAATTTTAAAGAATATAATTTTAAACTACAAAATGCATAGTAAAATCAGTCGAAAACTTCCTGAGAAAATTAATTTTGAAATAGTTTTATTTTCAAAATATGATTTCTCAGAAACTATACGCACCGATTTTGTTCAAATTTGTATTTTGCCATTCAAAATTACGTTCTTTAAAAGGATAATGAAAAATTGTATACCTTACAAATCAAAATATTCTCAACTATTATCAAACAGAGTAATAAAACATAATAAATATTTACAAAAAGTTATATTTCGCATGGATTAATTTTTGGATAAGCAAATTTTTTAATTGAGTGCAAAAAACCATTCAAATTCGCTAAAATTGTTCTTGAAATATTCAAAAAGCGAAATTAATTTTGAGGGGTCTAAACTTTGGACAGCTCACGTGATCGAACTATTGGGACCAAGTTTCTCAGATTGAGGCTACTTCTATATTTTGGGGGTTAGAAATCTGAATCCGTTGGAAAAAAATCTGTCTTCTGAGAAGTACGTTGCTGTGTCTATATTTGTAACTTAAAATATCGTCTTCACTAATTAATTGGCATATATGAGGTCACCCTTTCAAATCCTTAAGACTGTGGTGCTAAGCTAACTCAATTATTAAACAAAAAAGAAAGTTAACATTTAAATTTAACTTCGCAGTTTATTATAAAAACAATAATAAATAAAGTAAAGATTAAGTTAGTTAAAAAAAGGCTACATGATTCTAGGATAAAAATAAAATTATTAAAGATAGTCGAGTAGAGTAAGTTCGACATTGATGAATCAGCGAAAAGCAGCAAGGTGCTGCGGAATATTGCAGAGTACGTCCACACTGCACGGAAGAATAAAATGGACTGAGTTGACTGGCCAGCTGTTGCAAGTTATGAGAAGAGTTCAGTCTTGTGTTGCCAGTTGCAGAATACAAAAAGTTTGTAAGTTTCTTCTATCGCCGTCTGGCGAAAGGAATGATACACAAGGAAAGTTTCTTGCATCGCCATCTGGCGAGAAGCACGGTGCACCACAAGACTAAGTCCTAGAGCGTGAAGATCCAGTCACACACACCAACACTTAACCCTACGCCTATGACCCTAAAGAGGCATTTATCGGTAAATGGTTAATGTTGGAAGACAAGACAGATAGAAAAAAGAGAGAAAAATAGCAAATAGCAACAAAAAACAAAAAGAAAAAAATACAAAATTAAAAAAAACACAAAAATTAATAAAAAAAAAAAAGATTTTTCTATTAGTTAGGGCATTTTGATTAGAAAGTACCCAGGGCCAATTGGTCAAGTTTAGTGTTAGTTGGGGCTTACCATTGCTTAATTTCGTATTTTTCTAGAAAAATTTCTCGAATTCCTCGTATTTTTCTAGAAAATTAATCAGGCTGGTTGTCCTCTGTTTCAACTTAAGATCCTTATAGATAGATCTCTTCCAGGTTATGATGAATTCTAGCTTTGGTTGTTCAAAATAGTAGGATGTGGTAAACGGATATTGTATTGCATAGTGTCACACTGTGCCTACTGCTTCACATGTACGTGTATTGTCGGTAGCCAAGCAGAAGCGTTACGCTTTATACGCTTTAAAGGGGCCACACTCTGTAAAGCAGAAGATTTGCTGCCTATTCCAATCCTCTGGTTTGAATGAGGCATTTGTTGAATTTTCTCTGATTAATATTCCCAAATTCGGTTTGTGATTCTGATGTTGATAAATTGACCCTTATTAATTGCCTCTTTAGCTAAGTTATCTGCTTGTTCGTTCCCATCTTTGTTATTATGTGCTCGAATCCATAAGATTTGCAGGCAATTAGTTTTTTAAGTAGATTTCGGATGTCCTGTATAATCTGGTGAGTGGTGCCATAATTCTTAAGTCTATAATTGTTGATAGGCTGTCTGACTAGATTATAGTTTGGTTTGTGATTCGTTGTTTTGTAGCTTGAGTGACGACTTCTTTAATGGTATTGCTCCCGCCTGGAATACTGTGAGGTGGAAATTAAGATTCAATTGTGTGGTCGATGTGATTATGCCATCTTCATATTGTACAATTGCAGCTCTTGTTCCATCGTCTTTCTTGGGGATCAATATGTTAATCATTGTTGTTAATCGGATTTGTTTAATGAATATAAAATTATTTGTCTTTAAGTTAAAATTCGAAGAGTGGATGTCATTTAATTTGATTTTTTGTCAATTTGTGCGGATAAGAAACAAGTGGTATCCTTATTGAAGAGAAATTTTTATTTCGGATGGGGTTGATTCTAATTACCTCCCGCTGAAGGGTGTTGTGTAGTGGAGGTATTGACATAATGACCTGGCAGGTATTTGTGAAGGATATAAGATAGTCACCAGAAATATTCGGCAGAGTTTTTCTCTGAAAGATATCTAGATTGTTTCTGGTGTATTTTTGGGATTAACACACCAGACTGCAGCTGCATGGGCAATCACTCTTTCAGTGCAGGCTTTGTAAATTATTCGTCTTAGAAATTTATTTATTCTTAATGCTGCTCCAATTATTCCTTGTATAGCCTGAAATTGTCTGGCAACTTTGTCAGCCTGAATGCTCAGATGATCAAAGTCCAGATAAGTTTCTCATCAAAAATGAGGTCTGCGAACCTGACTACTTTAGATCTTTTAGAATTTTGCTCATTGAGATGTACTGATGGGTCATTCACTAGTTTGAATTTAATAGTAAATAGGTGGTTTTACCAGTTTAAAGATTCAGTCTATTATCCGCTGCCCATATGTTAAAATCATTTATAGCTTTAGCAACCAGGATGCCTAGATCTGATTCAGTGGAAGCTGCCAAGACAAAATTGAAATCATCTGAAGATCCGATCATTAGATCAAAACTTATTCAGGTTGGTCCGCTCTTTTATTTTTTGCTCACTGTACATTAATTGATAGCAGGTTCATACGTGATCAGCCATGCTCAACAAAATGAACCGGTGATATATATATATATATATATATCNCTACATATATATATATATATATATATATTTCTAATGTCATTTTGCTTTAAATAATCTCAAAATGGTTTCTGATACAACTAATCATCGTCATTCCGATTCCGACGAAAAAAACATAATCTTAGAAAAAAAGTGCTTGTTCAATTGCACTTACTTACTGAGAATATAAAAACTAATACTATTTGCTTCTAAAGTTTTGTCGAAAGTGCTTTTCAGAATAGTAATAGATAAATTGCATTTGAAAAGTGAAATTTACTTTTCTTATTTATACGCAAATGAAAAAAGGAATCGTTCTTAACGAAAACTCATTTCTTTTTATTACAACGTATTTCTTTTCAAACGTTGCCTATTTATGAAAAGCTCGCAAAAATTACTCTTATTATTCTTAGCTCATTTGTTTTATTGAGACAAACTGATAAAAGAAAAAATCCTATTTTCTTAGTAACTAAATTTAAGAAAATCAATACTCATAAAACATTCTTTTTATTAAGTGCATCATGAAATTATTGGCTCACAAACTTTTACGTCTAGTAGACAATATGCCCGATAGTCTATACTCCAAACATTATATAGAATCGATTTTCAACACTGAAATGTTATGATATCCTTCAGTTTACAAGGCTGGTCCCCCTACAATTAACTTTCGCCTGTTTAATACTACCATAAATAGAATTATTTATAGCCAGCAGGCATTTTCAATAAATCACTCCAAGACGTGTAAACCTTTCTGGAACAGATGTTCCAATGATGCATTAATCAATGGTTCTCAACGTCTTTCATCAAAATTAGTTTTAAAATAAATAAAAGTGTTATTTGGTTTGCGCGATAAATTTTTTGTGTGTTGAAATTTTTTAATTAACTTACTGGTCTCATTGCGTCAAAAACATTTTATACTTATGTTTTCATTGCATTTCTCAATACATCAAAATTCTAAAAATTATGTTTAGTAGATTATATTCGTAAAACCTATTTATTTTGAATATGGATACTTAAATTGTCCACTATTTAAAAAAATCTATTTTTTTACTATAATGCCATAATGATGTTTGTCATACATACCATAATGATATTTATCGGTTGAACTTATTTGTATTTAAATTTTAAAAATGAGTAATGATATACTTCAAAATATCACATTTACTTATAAACCATTTGCTATAAACAATAACGAGCACCAGAGCTTAATGGGTGCTAGAAGGAAAATTAAATGTTGTTAACCTTGAAATGCTGTTTACCTTAAAAAAAGGATGGTTTAACCTAACATATTATGGGAAAATTCACCGTGTTTCTGGCTCTATGAGAAATTCAATATTTCTCATAGAGCCAGAATATTTTTCATAGAGCTCATATATCAAAAATTTCATTAAATTTTACCGAAGTGCATTGGTAAAATTAGCAGTAAAGTATGATTTTACAATCTGTGATAAAATTTAGCCATTAAATGGGATACAATTTGGCAATTTTATCATAAAAACATAGAACAATGGCACGGAAAATATTCATTAGGTTGGAATTACTTGTCAGTTTTGTATTTCTTACTAAATGTGGATGATACGAACAATAATTTTGAAAACAGAAATTTTCCGTGAAACGTTGTTGAATGGTTTAAAAATGAATGGTTTAAATACCCTAAATTTTAGTTTTTAATAACAGAATTATGTTCTTATTTTTTCACTAGAAATGTGATTAGCATACATTGAGGTAATTTTCACCGATTTTTTTCTCCTTGTAAAAAATAAAACAAATAGGAAAAGGATAATTTTTTTCAATTGAAAAATTATTTCTAAAAAATGTTTTTTGTGAAAATGTAGATTCAGTAATGAATCCCTAATTTTTGCATGTGATGGATCGGCACATCTATCATCTCTAACTCATATTAAATTATTCTTTAATAAATAATTATGTTATAAATTTTAAACTACATTCCTAAATAACTGGCATCTAATATTTACTTTACTCCAATGCTAGCAGACATATCTGACATATAATACCGATTGAAGCGAAGATTATTGTTTGAGACTCAGATCTTCACTCGTGAGGCCACTGAGACTTCACGCCACTGTCTGCTCTGCCACGTGATCTTATCTTCAGTGTTGTCGTGATATATATTTATTGGAGCCGTTATAATCAGTTGTCCATCATATAAATATTTTTTATAACTTTAACAGGATATTTTACTAATTTATATTCTACTTTTTGTTTCCTTTTAGGAGCCAGAATGGTTGGAAAATTTTAAATGGCTCGCATACTTCTTTGCTTATGCAAATAGTTTTATTAATCCTATAATTTATGGTGGTTTCAACAAGACATTTAGAGATGGTTTTTGTCTTGTTCTAAAATGTGGATTTCGAAGAAATGGATTTAACAGACCTCGTAAGATTTTTTATAAAGTTTCTAAACAGTTTTCTTTTATTCCAGGTATATATTGCCCTAATAACTAATTTACGAACTTAAGTTTATGATTGAATACATCATTCATATATTTTTTTATATCTATAAAAAAACTGATTAGTTAAAAAAATTATAATAAAAATCTCCATTTTCTCCATCATATTTTTAATTTAATATCTAATTTATTTATTTGCGATTAATTGCATTGAAGTTTATTCTACCAGCAAAGGAATAATCATTGTAGCTGTCATAGAACATACCTGTTAATCCGTAATACATTAAAAATAATAACTATATTGCAATAATGAATTTTAAATAACTTATGGAATATAATCTTCCCCGCTATTAAAAGATTGCAACACATTAGAATATATTCTTCCGTAACAGAAGACAGCAAAGTTATTAAAAATTATGCATATGTTGTACCATAGAACATGTCTCAAAAATACAACATGATTTAATGTTCTAAGGTACCACATCTGCACAAGGCTATTAAACAAGTCACATTTGTGCTAAAAATATCATTATCTTATCAAAATTGGTTAACAAAAAAACAAATTTTTACCTTCATTCCAAGTATTAAACTACTATTATTTTTTCATAACTAAAAGATTAAAAGTATTTTTTCCATAGCCAATTAAAATTAAACTTAATGCTCTTATATATTGATTTTCCAAAGATGAAATAATAATTTAAAAAAATAAAGTCTACAATTTTCTTTCACTTAAAAAGAATTTATTTCAATCTTCAGACGATAATTAAAGCTATTCATTGTTTACTCCTATAATTGAAAATAAAAATAATGCTCATGTTGCAGATAGGTTTATTGAAATTATTTATTAGTTGTATTTGTCCCAAATTATATTTGTTGTAAGTTACAATACTACCCTTATTTATTAAATTATTATTTTTATCACTTAATAAATGCCATGAATATATTATTGAATATCATATAATCATGCTCATATTTAGTTTAATAATATGTATGCTAATGTGTAATCCCGTTACTGTTAAAGTTAGTTAGTTAATAAAAAATAGTTATTCATATTGCGTTATACTTAACATTCCATTCAGAGCAGCGATGGCTCAGGGGATAGAGCGCTAGCCTTCAAATGAGGTGAACCGGTTTCGAATCACAGAAATGGCTGGTTGATAAGAATCCGCAACCGGCTAGCATTGACCACAGTGCTGACGCAAAATATCCTCATTGGTAGACGGATCATAGATTAGAGTCCCTTTTCCGCCAGGCTAACAGTGGGAGCCTTTCGTGGTCTTCCTCTCCATGTCACGTAAATGCGGGCTAGTTCCATGAAAAAGTCCTCCATGAAGGCAAATTTCTCCCAATATTTGATCCAGAAGTTCTCTTGTCTTCTGGATTGGGTTCAAAATTACAAGGCTACAGAGTTGAACATTAGTTACCGTAAACTCAAAAATTGGGTCGGCAGTTCAGCGACGGTTGTAAGAAATAAAATTTTAAAAAAATGTACCATTCAGTATCGTGTTCCTACTTTTTACCTCAATGCATTTATAAGCTGTTTTTATTGATCGTATAGCATTAAAATTAATATTTTAGTTAAGCAAAATAGTATCTAACACTATAAACGCAGATTACCAGCAATGCTATCACGATCAATTTAATAGTAATAACGAGACGAAATTATTTTTAAAAGTTTAGCCTTATTGCGCTTTTAAGTAAATAATTTAAATATTATATTAACTATAATCAGTTTAAATATTAAACTAAATAAATAGCTCTTGTATTCCATTAAACAATTAACTTTAATATTTTATTAACTGTTTTGTTTGGATTAGTATATATGATTTGGTGGTGAATACACGATGAAGAATAAATATTCTACCCACATTCAGTTCTGAATAATATAAATAATGGATTTGGGATCAATATTGGTTTTTTGCAAAAGTACTTTCAAAGCCATCTCAAACAAATAAGATTAGTTTATGTATGGATGTTTTAAATGTTCATCTGAAGTATTGAACGCTACTCGCACTTTATTGATAACTTAAGAATAATTATAAGTAAGCACTTTATTGGTCGGGTTTCCATTGAAATTCAATCAACGACATGACAGATAAATGAGCAATCTTGAAAGAAGAGATTTCCAACTTCACAAAAGATTTCAATATCTTACTTATTGGTTTCTAAGGCGACAAACACTAAATCTTCATCTTGCATTTGATTAAAATGTAGTTTGTTGTTTACAGATTGCATTTTTTCCTTTAAACGTCTTCGTAAATGAGTAGTTTTTATGTTTTTTTTTCCTACATAAATCAAGTCTTAGACAATGTTTAAAGTGATTTATTAGCTTTATAGAATGTAATTGCCATTTTGTTTCGCATTTAAACTATTTGTTGTTTACTCTGATAATTCTGATATGTATTTCTTACTCTGTTACATATTTATAAATTGTAAGCAAAGTGTTGATTATATTTTTAAACCCTTGACTTTCTTCTAATAAAATATTTGCCAAAAAATTTATTTGATGCATTGCAAAAGTAATATATATTTTTTAATGCATGAGTAAAATATATAAGTGAAAAGATAAAAGTATTAACGTGCAACGGGAATTTTCTGTGCAAAATACCTAGTTTTATAGCTAATAGAATCAACTATAGAAATATTTTTCACTGTTTACGTTCTTTCATTTACTCTTTGACGCAGAATTTTTAATAAGCAAATTTTCAGTTATTTTGTAAAAATGTAGGTCGAAATGAGTGAAAATGTAATATTTTGCATTTTAATAATTAATGGTTATCAACTTCAGCATTAAACACCAGCGTCATTTTTTGCCTTGAAAATAAAATAAAACAGCTTACTTCCAAACAATAATTTTTCGAATTTTCAGTTATTTTGATCTAAAAAACAGAGTTATTCCTCCTTGAAATGTCCATCATTTAGAAAATCAATAATTGATAATTTTTTTATCTACTTAAAGCAAATTTTTAAAACTTTTTTTTTTGGATTTTATATTTTCGTACAAATGTAATACCAATAATCTAATAGATTTTTTTAATAAGTGATAGTGAGTTTTTTAGTATAAAGCCTAGTTAGTAACTATCAAATATTCTTACGAGTTACTTTATTTCTCCTAATAGAACCAATATAAAGTTTCTTTGAAAAATTTATAAAACTGCGATAAAATCTTGCAAAAGGTTACAAAAATTGTTATTATATTTTTACTGACATCTCTTAAGGAATCAAGATGAACGTGAACTAAATTCATGATAGACTTATGCAATTCAGAATCATAAAGAGCATGAAATCAAACACGAGAATATAAGAAATTAGCTTTTAGAATTTTATATAAACAATTCTCCCAACTGAGCATTTATGTGACATAAGAAGATCCTTTCAACTGGTGTTTTCCAACAAGAAAAATAAATAAATAAAGAGCTTACCCACATGATATTTAAAAAAAAACTGATTTTTGTGAAAAAATCATTTAAAGAATTTGTTTTAATGTTAAGCTATTTTCACCTAACAAGACCTCTTGTCTTTCCATTTCTGGTTCTCCACAGATGCAAACATGCTGATGTTTTAAACAGACTCAATTTAACTTGTTGCACTCGAATTGCTCATATTTTTCCAATATACATATGTACCTCTTACATTGAAAGTCATAATTTCGTGAATAAGAAAGAGAGAAGATCACGTTTTTAGCTCATTTAAGGAGTTGATATCAAAAATCAAAAACTGACTTTTTTCTATTTACCTTTCGTAATATGATCGCTTTGAAAATTTTTAGAGGTATTTGAGATTGTATCAGTTGTATTCTTTGATAATGTTTTAGCGTAAACAGGAATAAGTTTTGAGTTAAGAAAGATTTTTGCTCAAAAATGATGAAACTTTTTAAAAAAAATAAAAGTTACCAGTTCATAATTTTTTGAGGAAAATTCTTGCGAAGATATGTATTAGCAGTTATCGCACTGTAAACGTGTATATGTAGATATTCTGTGAAAAAAAACTGAAGCAATATTTTATTTAGATGCTGAGAAAAGGTAAGTTTTAGCATTATAGTTATATGCCCTACCAACACCCTTTAATTCAAGTATTTAAAAATAGCTTTTAAAAATAGCGTTATAGCATAGCTTTTGAAAATAAAATTCTCATGAAGAGGAGGAAAATGTCATATTTTTCCATTTAGATATATTTCAGAAACAACTTTCTTCACTAAATCGATAAACCTCAAATGATTGAATGTTATAGAAAGAAAATACTTTTACAAAATAACGTTCAGTTTATGTATTTTTACTTAGTAGTTTTGTAGATGATTTTTACTTCGTTATACCATATATCTGAAATTATCCTGTTAAAATGCAGATCTATCTTTCTTTCTTCCACAGAATATAAATGAATTTGAAATGCAATACCCAGGAAAAGCTATTTTAGTTCTAATCTATATTCAATATTGCTATCTATATTCTACATTTTAGTTGCTATCTATATTCAATAAAAATATTTCTTGTTTAAATGTAATTACTAAAAATAACTAGAACTGCTTTTAAGTTTGGATATACCAATATATATGGTGCTAAAATTAAGCCTTAAGTGAGGATAGAACATTGATATCTTTTTCCGTCCCTTATTATTGAATAATTATTAGTTTGAGCTTTAATATAAATTCCCCATTTCATATCAAGCTTAAATTTAATAATCATAGGATAATAATAATAGTAAATAAGCAGTTACTATTGAAGAATATAAACGTCTAATTATTATGTGAAATTTCACATGGATAAGATACATATTTTTGTTTCTAATTTTGAATTATTTTAAATTTTTTAAAAAAAGTTATTCATAATTTAATATCATGATTTAAGGAAAAAGAAAATACATTTCGTGAAACTGTAAGCTCTTTTGAAATCGCTTCTCACGTCTTTATCTCAAAGCAAAGTAAATTTTCTTATAACAAACTACTTTTGTCAGCTCAATTTCAGCTTTTCATTTCCTGTTCAAGAAAAACATAGAATGGCAGATAATGATCCTATTTACACACGGGCTGTTAACTTAGAGAACTGCTCTGATTGTTGGCTAAAAGCTTTCTGCGATCTAATTCATGGCAAAATTGCTTTTCCCGCATCTTGTAGAGTTGAAAATTTCGGGTGAAAAGGAAACTATATCCCAGTTGACTTTTAAAAATAATATAATTTTTTCCAGTTATATTAAAAAAGAATAAAGATGCTAACAAATCAAAAAGTTATACTGAAGGCAAAATTAAACATAAATATGAAATTTTTTTAATTTTTAAAATTATATTTACATTGATAATTAAATTATAAAATAATCTTTAATAGAATAATTATTAATGGAATTATTATGTATAATACATAATTAATGAAACATGTATTTAGAGACTTAATGCGATCATTAGAAGAAAAAGTTATCTGTGATCTACCTATCTGTGGTCTATTAAGCTTCAGAAATACATATAATGTTTTTTTTAAAATTTAATTAGCATAAAATTCATGTTGGGTTAATTTCTTATTCATTCAATGAGTTTTTTTTCTCGTTTTACTGTTAATCTATTAAAAATTTCACAGTAAATATATGGTAAAATAACCGGTAGCAGTCTGTCCATCCTAAAATTAAAATTTAAAAGACTCTTATTCTACCTGTACTGCTCTATGCAAGTGAAACATGGACACTAAACGCAGACACTCAGCGTACTCTTGATGTTTTTGAAAGGAAAATCCTTAGAAATATTTTCGGTCCAGTACAGGAATGAGGCTGTTGGCGAATCAGATACAACTTTGAATTATGTAGACTCTATGGACAGCCACAGATAGTGCAGGTCATCCGAAGCAATAGATTAGGATGGCTTGGCCATATCTGGAGAGGTCCAGAAAATAATGCAGTCCGAATCGACACCTTAAAAAATCCTTCGGGATCTCGGGCTAGAGGAAGACCTCCAACTAGATGGCTGGATGACACTGCTAAAGATCTAAAAGTATTAAAGATAAACAACTGGAAAAAAGTCGCCATGGACAGGAAGCGTTGGAGGCTACGTGTGGTTGAGGCAGCCAAGGCCTGTAAGAGACTGTCGTGCTGAAGAAGAAGAAGTCTGTCCATCCAAGTATGAGTATAAAACCATAAATGCAAATTTACACGGTTTTTTAACAATGTATAACTAGCATGGTTTTAAAACCGTAAAAAAGAATCTAACTGGATATTGGAGCTGGACTTTTTATGGTGTAATGTGCATTGAATAGTGCAGGACACCAGGGCTAAAGAGAATAGAAGGGCTAGTTCACTCCGCTCTTAGAGCTGAAGCTACGATTTCCCTCCTCATGACGTCACTGTGTTCACAAATCTCGGAGATCGCAAGCAAAGATATTATGATAACTTTGCATCTTTCTCTTTGTAAAAATAAGTTAGACTTTTTCTGGTTATTAGCTTTCAAACTTTACGTAATTAACACATTATTTCCGTTCATAAACATAGTTCAAAAAAACTTTCTTGCCCATTATATTAAAAAAAATACCATTTTAAACTTATAAAAATGTTTTACTAGTTGGCGAAAATGACACTATAAATACTATATTTTAAAAAGTTCAGTTTTAACCTTAATTATTAAGAAAAATGAAGGCATATATCGACAAGAAAAATGAAGGCATATATCTGTCGGTTTTTTTACTTCTTCTATTTTTTAATTTTCGACGAAAAAAAATTATACTTATTGCTGAAAATTAATTTATGTGCTACCCTACATTCAAAAATGCTAAATATTTTTGTCAGCAAACAATTTTTTGCTTGACCTATTGGTCGTGAAATATTCGACGTCCTTTTCACCTTCTGCAGTTTTCCCTGCAATGCATATTAGATAATCCCTGCAATTATCTTAAACGAAATCACACTGTTCTAACACATTTTTATTAAATATATTGCTTTCAGGTGTTGAGACTTACAGTTATTTTTAGGTCTTAGAGTTACAAAAATAAAATAAAAAAAATAACTTTTCAGCCAATTGATAATTAATTTTCTTAACTGAAATTTTAAGCATTTTGATTCCGAATAAGCCACAAGTTTTAAATTTAGTTTTAAAAAAATGAAATATATTTTAAATTTATTTACTCTAACACCGTTGGTATACTGAGCTAACCACAGTTGTAATAGAAGGTAGTGTGTAATGTCTACATGTGTATATATCTTTCTTTTATAGGTCAAGAAAAAAATATTATTGGAAGTAATTCTCAGAGAACTTCTCTATTTCATAAAACTCTTAGAAGCATGTACACATCGCTTACTTTATTAAGAAGTCGGACACAAAGTCAAACAAATCACTCTAAAACGCAAGTTCCGACTTACCAGGCAAAACTCGTGAAAGCAACTGCTGTCTAAACTTCTTCTACTAACCTATGTGGCAGGCAAAACATATGGTAGCTAATTTTTGAATGATTTATGCGCTTTGGTAGATGGCCTTCTCCTTTCTGCAGCTATGGAATTCTGGGAATGAAATTTTAATTAAAGCTTTGCTTATAGAAAAATGGTTTTGCACTTTATATACCCGTATATGCATGTCAAAAACTAACTCTCACTGTAATTTTCTCATTTAGTACATTAATTTTAAGCTGGCTTGTGCTTAGTATTAAATTTCTTGTTCAACAAATTTTGCTTGAGAATCAGGGTTGGCAATTTTCGAGAGGTTTTAATGGTTTATAACATTTTATTCTTTAAGAAAAGATCTTAGTATGCCATAAATGGAGTTTGGTTTGCCATCATTTTGGTTAAACTAAGCATTGCCAAATGTTTACTAAAAAAAAACGTTAAAAACTTCAGCTATAATATTTTTGTGACCATGAAAATATCTGAAATTTATATACTTTTTTATAAGAAATGCAAGTTCAACTACACTATAAAACGTTTAGTATAAAGTATCGAGATTTTAAGTGCATTATCCGTAAAATCCTCTTAACGTAGAATCCATTTTTACCTTTAAATATTATACCACCATTTTTGCAGTAATATTTATTTAGTTAGAGTGATTCAATAATTTCACAGAATTTATTACTGTAAAACTAATGGTATATAATATTTTTTGTTCCATAATATGTTCTGATAAAGACGGATTTTGCTGTTAAAAGCACCAGTACCTGGCAGTACTTCTTATAGCAATTTGAGTAGGAATTTTTTACTGTGTATTTAGTTTTCGCAGCTGAGATTTTACGATACAAAACTACACAGGTCTTATTTTCTAGTATGTTTTCCTCATACATGATAACACTTTAGGTCATTGGTAGCATAATCTAGTTTTTGACCGGGTAAACCACTTTTTGACTGCGAAAATTAAACTATATTTGAAATGGTGCTATAAATGTTTGTTTAATCTTCGGGAATATTTACTTATTCAATTTTACATAGGAATGATAACGAAAATATTCGTTTAAGCTTGTTATTATTATTTTTTCTTTTCACTGTAACAACTAACAAAGCTTTTATGGATGAGTTTAAATGCTAACAAAACCCAAATGACAACACTACCCATTTGCCTGATTTAAATGCAATATTTTTACAAAATTTTTCTTAAATTACTAATGTTACGTAAAACAATTTTGACATGCATTCTGGGGTGTGAAATTTGGTTTTCATTTACTATTTCAATTTAATTCCTACTTCTGCTTGGTGGTAGATAGCATGCTTATTTAGATTGAATAGCATTTATTTGCTTCTTATTCTTCCATCATTATGAATTCCTACTATTACGGAACTTTTCAGATTTTGGTGTATTTCTCTAGTGGTATATTTAAAAAAAAAATGCTTAGACAAATATTTTAAGGTCTGTACTTTAAGCGAAAAATATATCTGACATAGAAATGAAAAATAATATGTACTCTATGTATTCAAATGCAAATGATTAAAATGTATGTACTACAGCCGTTAAAAGGAGTTGATAGCTGATTTAAGTTCAATATCAATTATTGAGATGTTTTCAATAAGAAATTAAATGAAATTATTTCTCAGGAAAACATTTTATAGAATAAGAATAAAATAATAAAGTATAAACTATTTAAAAATTTTGCGCAAAATTATAAATAATTTGAATTTTACTTTGTGTTTTTCAAGTATTTATAAATATGTCACTCAAATCTAAAAAAAAAATTTTTTTGTTCCTGTCACTTTTTTTAGCTCGATCAAGGATGACATTCACAACTGGCGTTACATCTAGTCCTTCAAGATTTACATCAAGAATCATCAATGGTGCCAACAAGACTTCTAGTCAGAAATCGATGGATGTTGAGATGAAGCAAGTGTGCAATCCAGACACAAATGATTTCACTACCGTGAAAAAAGAACTTTGCGTCACAATAACCGAGGAGAAGCAATGATAATATCATCAAAAGATATCTCTCTTGTCTGCTCTCTTGAATCATGATACCAAAATCGATGATAAAGAAGTCATTTTCTGGAAACATTCCAATAAAGTCATACAATTAATTTGTATTCTCATGAAAAGTTGGAGAAAAGTTACGCAAAGAATTTGTCTTTCATGTTTAAAGGCATCCGTTTTTTTCCGAGTTCAGCAAAAGACTTTTAAAACCTATTCTTTTTTGTACGAAACATACACTGATCATGCACAGAATGACCTGATACAGAACTACAAAAATCACTAAACTCCGATAATTAATAATAACTGAAGGATTTTTATCTTAATTCGTTAATCCTTAGATATACGGGTTGCTCACCTGATGAAATATCTAAGAAATAGTCTTTGTTTTTCTTTTGAAAAAAAAAATAACTTTTAAACTTATAACTTTTACCAAACCAAGCCAACTTTTTTATGTTAAGCTAAAAGTCATTAAATATTCTATAATTTTAACTGCATGGATTGTGAAGTAAATTAAATTAATTTTAGAGAATGAAGTGCAGAAAAGGGAGAAATATTTATTTCATTTTGTAATAATAAAAAATTAGTTTCAACTAACCAATTCAACATAACATAGTTGTTAAAAGATGCCAATAAACATAATTAATATGTGGATGAGCATTTATGTCAGTAGAACACCTTTATAAAGACTTAAATATAGATATCAAAAAATAATTCAAGATCATATTCTGTAGAATATCTGGGGATATATCATGATTGTTATTAAATACTGATTCAAAAAGTATTGTAATAAGTATTATCAACAAAAACCCTAATTATCCAAAATCCCTAAATATCTAAAATCCATAAATATCCGAAATCCATAAATATCCAAAATCCATAAATATCCAAAATCCATAAATATCCAAAATCCATAAATATTCAAAATCCCTAAATATTCAAAATCCCTAATCCAAAATACTTAATTTCTAAAGTTTTGTAAAATGCTTGAAGATTATTCTTGAAGATTATTCGATTATTCTTTTAATTAAAAAGTAATATTTTTAAAGAAATGTTTTTTTTGAGGTTTTATAAGTCAAGTTTTGTTACTAAATGTAGAAATAGTTAGAGATTTAATCATTTGTAAGTAAAAAGAATTTAATCAAGCAAATTTCCCAATTTCCATTCATAATTTCCAAAACTAAATTAAAGAAACAAAGAAAAAATTATTTAAAACATTATATTTCTTGTTTAAAAAAGTTTAAAATATTTATTTAAAGATACAGGCTCTATATATTAATAGCTCTAATCGAGCAATATTTACAAGTAGCTGTATCAAAGCAATATCTTTTAAAGTCGCTCATGGACAAAAAATTATGCTAGTAAATGCATATTACTTTATATTCTCTGAAGTGAGTAATAATTATTAAAAAAAACAATCTGGTATTACATTTTTATTTATTATTTTTTTGCTTCTATGCATTGACTGCTTATGTACATAATGAATGTTAATTTTAAATTCATGTATATAAGTATAAATTAAAATGTTGTTTGGTAAAAGGAATAAACTTAAGAATTCATTTTCCCCGAAATTAAAATAAGCCCTACAATTTTTAAACTTTTAATTCATATTTCTAGAGTAAATTAAATCCGCACAACCACCGCAGTAGCTTTACAATATCTCTCTATAAAACTGATGAATTTTGAGTCTGTACGGTTTCTTCCTTTTTCCAAACAATTGAGTTTATATGTATGAGCTTTCTAGAAATTGTTATATTATATTAGTATTATTGTTACATGTTGATTGTTAATGTCGTTAAAGGATGTACTTAAACAGTTATGTCCTTTGTACTCGTAATATCATCTTAAGATACATTTGTAGATTCATTATGTCAAACTTCATGCACATTACAAGTACAATTATGTAGAAAGTTTTTCATTTAAAATTTAGTAGTTTTCATTTTTATTTTTAGAGCTCTTGCTTCTTTCATTATCTAATTGTAATAAAGTTAGTTATAAAGTGAGTGAATATCAAATGCACTTTATTCACTTTAAATATTTTATAAATTGATATGTTTACCAATGTTTATACGATTCATTAAATTCAAAAAGTCATAAATGTCATGTATGATGTACTTTAAAACTGTCTACGTAAATATTCTTTATCTTATTCAATAAAATAGGGAATTGTAATTATATCAGTTTAAATTTAATTCTTTTCATTCGTTTAAAGTTTTAAATTATGACTAAATTAAGAAGCAATATCCATTAAACACAAAACCTTTTTGTTGAAAAAACAATGCAAGAGCTGTTTATTTCCTAGAGCATTAAGTAGCATAGGTATGGTGTATTATATATAATTTATAAGCTATTATTAAGCTATAATTGTATTTACCGTTGATGTAACTATATGAAATATGTATTCATGTTTTTCTAAATAAAATTTCAAAAGGATACGGAATTTTACTTTTGTTAAACGGCCATTTAAAAGTTCTATAAATGATGATCATGCAATTTCTAAGCAATTCTTTTTATTTTAAAAGTAAAAGTACTTTCAACACAACATTGGAAAATCATTGTAAAGCTGAACTCATTTTACGGTTATACGATTTTTGGAACATGTATCTTATGGTAGGATGATTAAGTTTTCGTAATTTTAAATGTGTAACTTTCGTTTCTTTAACTGTGGTTCAGTGCCCCAATTGGGGTCACGAGACCTGCAGCAATATGTTTGAAAGTTTTTTTTAACCTTTTTATAATAACTTTATAATTAACAAATATTTTTACACGATGCATCTGAAAACAAATAAAGGAGAAGAAAATGCACACAAAGAGAAAATAAAATCTTTTCGACGTTTTTTTTTTTTTTTTTTTTTTTTTTTTTTTTTTTTTTTTTTTTTTTTTTAAATAATAATTCTTACTCTACTTGTTTGGAATTCGTGAACTGACAGTGTGCATGTTTAATTAAAGTAAGTGGCCTAAAGCGTAACAGTATATTACTTGCGCTATGCCTATATAGTCCCATAAAAATTTCATAAAAATTATAGCATGCCGCTTCAAAAATGTTTAGAAGCCCTGCTCTAACGTATCGTGATTAAATTACCAAATTTTACCACATTCCTGATCTAAGGTATTATGATAAAATTATCAAATTTTACCACAATTATCTACTTTATCACTTATTATAAAACCATATTTTATTGAAAATTTTATCTAACGCGTTACCAAAGCAGTTCGGCAAAGATGACCTAGCGTTTTGGTGCTCCCATGGAGCCAGGAACACGGTAAATTTTTTCATATTCTGGTGGTTTTTACTTTTGACTATATTTTTTACTCAGTGAGATAAACATTATTTAAAGTTTTTTCTTTGTTTTAAGTAGAAAGATATTCGACAAGTGACAAGTTCAGAGATGGACGCACAATACGTACATTAAATCTCAATTTTTTATTAAATAGTTTAATGTAGAGTTCGCGCGTTTGAGTGTTGAAGGTGATGGAGACTGGATATAATTGCGAAATTACAAAGGAAATTGTTGCAATAAGTATCTGGAAAACACAACACTTCTTTTTTCTGTATCATTGTTAATTCGGGGACATCGTTATGCCACAAGGTTTTTATTTAATATAAGCACCATCAAAAAGGAAAAATTTAAATATTTTGATTTGTCGCAACATGACCCCATATTGTCTCAAGGGACTTTTTTAAAAGATTATTAGTTTCAAGAATGTTTGCTCATTTACTTTAAAATAATCTTTTAAACTAAATACTAAATATTTTTGAAAATAGAAGTGAGATAGCATAATTCAGAGGCTCTAGCGTGCTGATACCACCTGAGAATCACTTTCAAGCTTTAAACGAGGTGGTTACATCATTCACTACCCTGCACTGTTAGAATTTCATTCTAAAATTATGATAAAATAACCGGTAGCAATCTGTTTATCCAATTAACCTTAAAGTTTACGGTGAAGAGCATTTCTTACCTTTATGGTTTTGAAACCATTTACAACAAGTATGGTTAAAAATCATGATTGCAAAAAGATACGGTTTTAACCATTTACAACTAGCATGGCTTCAAAACTGTAAAAAGGACATTTAACTACACATAATTCAACAGATTTATGGTGCTGCCATCTCTGCGAGAATGAGAGTATCGTATTCTAATAGACCAGGATTATAAATAAGGGAGTGCATGATACTGGAAACTCTTCATGTGAAAGGAATGGAGGAAATGTCGTGGTGTCAACGCTGGGAGTCGCACCCCTGTTGTGTTGATCAGGACATTAACATATTAGGCCTTTTGAATGTAATATGTATGCAGCTGCGAGGAACTAAGTTACTTTATAATATGGACCTAGTTGATGAAATAAAATTCTGGTTGTTTAACCGTATTAGGTGAAAGCAGTTAATAAACGGTTTTCTCACCGTTTCAATACCACCTTATTTACGGTTATTTGATTGTTTTTGTTGAACATGGTAAAATGACACTTAAAAAAATTTTTATTTAATCATTTTTTCTCAGAAATTTCTAATAGTATACAATATTTATGGTGCAAACGTAAAGCATTTTTATGGCAATGAAGTATAGTGTCATTGGCATCTAATTAACCTTGAGAAATCTTCAACGTATATTCGTCCATGAAAGTCAATTGCATTTTCTTGTCTCCGAAATAACGACGAAATATGTCCATGAAGCCATCGCCACGTTCATGACAATGTTTGTCTCGATATGGAGGTCTCCTTTATGTCGTTGTTTCAAAGTTAGAGAGTTGTGAAGTTGATTTTTACAGCTGCATATCGTTACATGGATCAAGAAATAAATTTTATTTATCAAATAAAATTAAAATCAAATATAATTTCGAAAATGGTTACTTTTAGTTTTGAATAGAAACTCGCTTAAGAAGTTAATGACTTTGCTAAACACTTATAAGCTAATATTAGAAGAAGAACCACCTTCTAAATATCTAAAATTTCAGTATCACATTTTCAGCGCTTCAACTACTCGATCCTCATTATGAATATTTAATCCAAGTAAATTATGATATAGTGTATTTGTTCAGATTAATGTAACTATCATTTATTATTTTCGCAACATCATTAATAAGATGTGCTAAAGCAATAAAATATCTTGCTCGTGTTCCCCTAAACATAAAATATCTGTAGATAAAAATATTTATGAAGATGACATTTTTGTGAGGATAATTTTTTTTGATTGCGTATACATTATACCCGAAACTTATTTTTGTCGATTTTATTATCATACAAACAAATGAAAGAATTTCCATGCATGTTTTATTAAGCAACAATAAGGTATCTGGTAGTTCTTTTAATGTCTCTAAACCAATTTAAAAGCAGTTTTTTTTTATAATTAGTTCTAGCTATTGGAACAAAAATCTATCTTAAGTTAAATACAATATTTAATTTTTTTTTTAATAAATTGTGCTAAAAGGCTATGTGAAGATGGAATATTCAGATGTGGTTGGAGTTTGTCTAGTAATATTGACCAATTGAAAATAGTGATGAAAACAGACGATGATGAAAACAGTTGAAAATGAAAACCGGATCATAACTAATATAAAGCTTTTATTTTAATATATTTGCAGAGCTCTAGATTAAAAAATTAAACATTATTCATAAGAATTTTGGTTGAATTAATTTTGCATAATAATATAATAAGGACATGAAATGGGAGACAAATCCCCCATGACCTGCCTAATCAAAAGCCAAATTAAAAGTACGTGTAATTTGTTCCCAACGGACACAGGAGAAGCAATGGTAGGAGATCCAAAATTGGCGAATTATCAAATATAACATAGCCAAAACAAAGCCAACCCCGCATATCAATATTGGGTTCAAAGAATACCTTTGCAATCACGAGTCGCCAACAAAATTATCGGAATTATTACTACCATGCAACTGAAACATTTTTGCGGATTAAAAATTTAGAATAGAAAGTTATAAATAGATTTTTGTTTTCGATTAGGCGTGGCAGTGAATTAATAAGTCTGCATTAGTAATGAAACAAAAAGCGTCCGTTACATTGATTGATAAAAAAAAAGAACAAATATTTCATATTCGTTTTAAAAGATTAAGTCTTTGATTTATTTTAAATATAATTCGATTAATAAAAATAAGCTTAAGTAATTAAAGATGTTTTGAAAGAGAGGAAATAAATATGTAATGCCAATTGTGGCATCACAGGCTAAATATTTAATCAATAATCTATTATATATAATTCTCTTACGTGGCTCCCAAATTTTGGCTGTATTTCCTTTCCGCCGGTGGCAACGGTTGCTTTGTTTTGAAAACACCAAAGCATTCTGCCTTTTAATGATGTGTTTCTGATCTAATATATATAATTCTCTTACGTGGCTCCCAAATTTTGGCTGAAGTACTTTGTACAACTAAATAAGATTCTTTTCACAACACTTAAATATTTACTTTATTTTCTTCATTCATAGAGAAAACAGTCGGCAAAGAATTCTGTTAGGTTGAAAAAAATAATGAATTATAAAAGAAATAAAAATAAACAACTTAAAAAATAAAAATGCTGTTGCCAGCCATAGAATTTTTCGAAAGTTAACTTAGCAACATAAATCAAAATGACATAGAAGCGCAATTGGATCGAAATTATGATACCTGAGCGCTTGACGTAACAAATCCTTCAATTCTATAAGTGTTGTATTGCCAAATGCCCAAATAAACAATTGTGTTCTTAACAAAATTCGATAAAAAGTTTTAAATAAACAATCTACTTCTACAACTGCTTCTTGAAGAACTTGGCTCATTGATTAAAAATTTTGTTTTAATTTTACAGTACTAACTTTACTTTGACTTTCATTATTGCTATGACCCTTTTTCATTACATTTTACAACTTCATGCTAAATTTGAGGACTTCAAGTTGTTTTGTGGTTGAATACTGACATTTAGAAATGTGTACATAAAAAAAAATAATATTTAGAGGTTAAGAGTTGCATCAGAAAACTTTGAATTGTTGACATTGAACTTAAAAATGGAAACAATCGTTTTTGTGAAAAATTGAATTGTATTGTTGACATCAAAACTAAAAATATTGTGTTTCAACTTAACAATACTACCTTAATTTATACTTTAGAATTGCCTCGGAGAAATTTGAATTGTTAGCAATGA